TTTTGTATGAATTTTGACTCAATTTCAGATGGGTGACGAAGAGGTTAGTGTTATTCGATATTGATTTGTATAGAAGAAGAGGAAGCAAGTGTGGTTGGGAGCTTTTGGAGGTGATCGTGCGCAAGGAAACCGGAGCAGACGAAGGTGGATAGGAAACCGCCGCAGTCGGTTACCTGAAAACCGTAAATATTGAGTTTAAGGCGGCTAAAATTAAAACTTCTATGAATTTGAAGGGCTGTGATTAATAATTTGGGAGAATAGCCTCATAGTATTAAATTAAACTTAAATATATAGTATAACTTTCAAAATTCAAATGCTCGTTGTAAATTCTAAACTTATGTATTTGCATTTTAAACATACTTTAAAAAAAAAAATCCGAGCACCCTTTTTTACTTTGTGCAATTCAATTTTCAAACTTTCACTGTTTTATCACACCTCAAAAGCAACCACAATCCTGATCTATCAACAGTTTCTCAAACACCACTTGACCGGTCGTCAGCACCTTCAAACGCCTCTTCCTCTCTTGCATTCCCGCGCCGGCGAGACGAATGTCCTGAACTCCATCACTTCGCAACAATGGCATCAACTGACACTACGAACTTCGATCTCAGAGTATAATCGTTCATCTATAAAATTAATTTCATCTTATATATATTTAAAATCTTTTCTCTAGCTGATTGATTTACATTTCCTGAATCTGTTGTCTCGATCTGTTACCTACACAGTCCAGCTTCGGAGCTAGGTAAAATTTCATCGATTTTGTTATAATTTTGGTTATTTTTGTACTGTTACGAGGAGTTAGGGTTTTATTTCACCTGCGAAATTTCGTTAAATATTCCGTACCTTTTTGCAGTGAGTACACATTTGCTGATGTTGATAATTTGGATCATTGTGCGAAGTATTTGAACCAGACTCTAGTCACATTTGGATTTCCAGCTTCTCTGGATCTGTTTGCAACTGATCCGGTTTGTACATTTTGACTTCATATGTGATTTGTTGTTTAATTTATATACTCTGTCTTTACATATATATTTTTTTGTTTAGGTTTCGATTGCAAGAACTTGCAATTGTTTATACTCACTCTTGCAGCAGAGGCAACGTGATATAGAGTTTCGAGAATCTACCAATGATCAGAGACAAAGGTGAACTTTTCTATCTAAAGTATCTAACCTTTACACAGGAGATTCATCAATTAAGAATCTCTTTTACAAAATTAGGGATAAGTTTCAATTTGAGAAGTTAATATGTGAAGTCCTTAGATCATCCACAATGCCTAGTTTAATGAAAGAGTTGAATGAGGTGGAATGCCTAGTCACCATATTGATTGTTCCTGCAAAACAAATTAAACCATTAAATTTTAGGGTTTCATATATTCATTTGTTCATTTCCAAAAGCCACACTGTATCTCTTATTCTGGAATGGAGTACTGTTGTTATATGGCTTACAACAAGCATGTGGATTAAAATTTAAAACTAACTTTATTGGATTGAAAGCAGAAAGCAATACATGATACAATGCAAGACTAAGATTATGCTTATCTCTTTTGCAATTTTCTTGCAGACTTTCATCTGATATATCAAGACTAGAGGCCAAAGTAGAGAGACTGGAGTCACAGTTGTCTGCTAAAGATAGAGAAATAGCAACAATTACCCGCACTGTAATGTGTTTGTATATATATAATATGCTTATGTATACTGTATACATACATATATAGCTATTAACTTGTATCATATAGTTGTTTGATTATCATTTATTATGATCAGGAAGCTAAAGCAAAAGCAGGACTTAAGGGCCAAATCGAGAAGTTGCAGCAGGAAAGAGACGAATTTCAAAGAATGGTTATTGGAAATCAGGTATGGTTTTATGCATCCAACATCCCCCTTTTTGATTTTCATCTTATTTATTTCTATAACTCACCATTTTCAACACATGATCTTGCAAAAGCAAGTAAGAACTCAACAGATACATGAGATGAAGAAAAAAGAAAAAGAGTACATTAAGTTGCAGGTATAAATATAATTCTCTCCTAATCCCATCATCTCCATTTTATATTTCCCACAAATTTTTGTAAGAAATTTTGTTTCTTTACAGGAGCGACTTAATCAAGTTATGATGGAGAAAAAGAAGGAATCCAGATCAGGCATGGAAATAATGAATTTACTTCAGGTGATTGGTCAATGTTTTTGACTATATTCATATTTATATTTTTCAGTTCAAATTTTGAGACTTCTTACTATAATTTTCCTTCATCCATCACAGAAAGAAGGGAGACAACGTGGGACATGGAATGGGAAGAAAGCTGACAATGATTTCTATAAAAAGATTGTATGTTAATTCTTAATATGTTATAATTATATAAATCTATATTTCTTTAACTTCAATTTATTATTTATATATACTTATTGCATACATTTAGGTGGATGCATATGAGGCAAAAAATCAAGAGTTAGTTGCAGAGAATGCTGATCTGAGGGCATTGTTACGATCAATGCAGGTATTTTATCATTATTGTAACTTTTATAGAATAAAAAATGTATGAAAATATTATATTTTACTATTTTATATAAATCTCTTTTTTTCTTTACACTATTTTCTACATATATTGTGTTTATAGGTGGATATGCGTGACTTCTTGAATGCTCCAAATGGTTCTTCTAAACATCCTTCCCCTGTTAGGGATGTGGACCCCACACAATCCCCATTGGGTGGGAGAACGGTATGACCAAATATTTTTTTTGTGCAAAAGACGAAAATGCCCTCCTTATATGAGATAAATTGAAAGTTTATGAATTATGAATATCAGGATGTCTTCGACCTACCATTTAATATGGGTAGAGATCAAATAGAAGCATTTCTAAGAAACAAAGTGGCTTCAATTAAGGTAATTTCATGATTTTCATCCATTTGTTTCTTTTTGTTGTGATTGATTAAAAAAAAAGTATTTAGTTTTTTTTTTTTTTTAATGTTTGAATGTAAAGGAACGAATGGGTCAGCTACAAGATGCACAAAAAGAAGCTGAAGTCACTTCTGAAGCAACTGAAAGAGAGCTTGAGTTAGAAGCTCAACTTGTTGAAGCTAGAAGTATAATCCAAGAACAGGTTTTTTAAAATTAAAGATCCTCATTTTGTTCCTAAATCTTATTACTTATTATCACAATACAAACTAAAGTTTAAAATTAATAAATTTTTCTAGGCATCTATCATGTCTAAGCACCTTGCAAAGTCTGAGAAACCAAGGTAGTTCTTTTGGCTCCTTTTGTTATTTAGGACATGACAAAACAGAACAGATAAATTATACTGTGTTTTGCGTGTATTGGACTGAGGCTGAAACTGATACCGGTGTATATATATATTTTAATGAGATGATTTGTGTACTGTAGGAGGCTGAGTGGACTTATAAATTCTGAAAGGGATTCCATCATATCATCATCTGCTGACGTAAGCATTCTTTTTTCCACTTTTTGAAAAACTCATCCATTAAAAATATATAAAGCACGAAAATATGCAATAAAGTAACAAAAAGCCCTGAAAAGTTTTTTTTTTTTTATTTATTTTTTTAATGCGTATTTAACGTAATTTTAAAAAAAATGCTCCTTTTCCTTTTTTGGATATCTTGAAATTTATATTGGTACTTTCCTGTGATTCTTAAAGGAACTACAGTTTTATTAAAAAAATTATTTCCTAAAAAATCAAAATAATTTGTTATATCTAAGACCTCTATGAAAAAAGAAGAAATATAAAATGTTGGTGTTTCTAATCTTAATGAAATTGATCTATTTTCAGGGTGTATGAGAAATGGTGTTACGAGGGGTTGACTTTGACTTTGCTCTTGTGTGATGTGTTAGCAATCCTACCCTTCATTCATGTCATCAGTCTCTTTGACATTCATTATATGTATTAAGCTACTAGTATTAGTAAAATAGTAGATATGTTTAAATATGTGCTTACTTTAAAACAATGAGAAGCCTTAATTAGTCTTGAATCAACGATATTAAAGCTGCAAAATTCTTTAACACCTTGTTCCCAAGTTTTTTTTTTTTGTCTAGGGTAAAAGACTGCTTTTAGCCTTTTACCCTTGGCCTTCTATAGCTGACAGTTTCCTTTATGGGTAAAAACGTCATTTGACAGTAAAATTCCTTTCCTTTTTTATAAACTCAAGAACGCATCTTAAGCCTCAATGGATCGGGGTGGATTTGGATACTGGTTCTGATATTTTTAACTCGATGGAACTTGCTAAATAAATGGGATGACGTGGATCGATCAAATAACAACTCAAAGTTCAAAGGAAAAATAACTACCACTTTAATGTCCAAACAAAGTTTAGATATAATTAAATAAGTTACAAATGCAATCGTGTTTTTTTTTTTTTTTTTTTTTTTTTTTTTGTTTGTTATTTTTTAATTTAAAGGTTAAATAAATATAAAATAAAAATCAATATCGGTTGGTATTAGATCCGAAATTTTAATAACAAACCAATTTATTTAATCAAAAACATGTTTGATTGGGTTAATTTCTTCTTAATCAATCCAAGGTGCATTAACATCCATCCCACTCTGAGACTGAAATTGTTTTACCAAATAGTTAAACTTGTAAGGTCGGAAGATGTACATTGAATCTCACATTGCGGCATGTTGATTTAGCAGAAATCGTATCTTGGAACACCATATGTTGGATGTGGTTTGGTCCCATGCGGAGAGCCTTTCCTGCTTCTCTCTTCTCCTGATTGGCCAACGAAAAATATCTGTTTGCTTGTTTTTCAATTCCATCGTCTCTCTCTCTCTCTATATATATATATATATATATATATATATATATATATATATATATATATATATATATATATATATAATATATATATATATATATATATATATATATATATATATATATACAAAACTACAAAAATGGTACTTGTGTATGAATTTTTTTGGGGTTTTAGTCTAAACCCCAACTTTTTTGGCTTTGTGGTAAGCCCTTTTGATATTTTTTTATTTAGTTTAATTAAAAAAGAAAATAAAAGGCCCACATCTCTCTCTCTCTCATGGGAATCCATTGCTTTTGTTGTTGAATTATCATCTCCTTGACTTTCTTCATGAACTCTTCTTGTTTTGTTCTTCCTCTTTGCTGTAGATTCATGAGTTAATGTGCTCAATTCAAGAGATTTTTAAAAGGTACAAGTGTTGTAACTTATAAGTGAACTGTAAAATGTAAATGCCAACCTCTGTTCTAAGCTTGAAAGGTCGTTGGGAGGTGGCCTTGAGTGTTCGTCTTTTCCATCTGTTGCCTCCAAAACTTAAAGATGATGAATCAAAACTCTGCATAGTAGAATAAAAGTTAATAAATCAACATAAACAAGAATTAACGATCTCGATTTTAGAAAAATAATGATGAATGATGACTTACATTTCTTCTACTTTGACGACCACTTCCTGAAATCCTGTTTGAAGTGCTAAAATGTAGAAATAAACCCATTTAGAATCGAAATTAAGCATGTTTAATAGAAATTTCATGGCAAAGTTTTTAGATGATGATCAACCAACCTCCCATGGTTGCCATCAAGTGAAGAAGACAACCCTAGATTTTCTGCAATGAGTAAGAGATCAGATGGATTGAATGAAGTAAATGAGAATCGTCTCTTAGGATTATTGTTTATATGATCTTCGAGTTCATCCTCATTTGAATATGGTAATGTGAGAATATTCTCGAAGGCCTTGACCAAATTTAAAACTCTTCCAGATCTAGGTTCAAGATTACTCTTTCTTGCTTCATCCAACAGTTTCTTCCTTCTCCTCTTATCACCGGATGTCTCAGAAATGTCACACACAAGCATTTGTCCAAATTACCATTAGCCTTACACTTACAATCAACTGAAATCGGGGTTTTATCCTTGTCTCTTCTCAAATTCTTCTTCGCCACCACAAACTTCCTCTCTCGATTCTTGTTCTTGGGAGAAGGCGAAGAGATCTGATTAGGTTTCTTCATCGCCGATTTTTGGACTTTAGTCGCTGATCTGACTGATGGGGAATTCAAGGCTTTCAGAGTATGGCTAGTAACGTTAGGGTTTACATTCTATGGTAGCTTTGACTTGCTAGAATGCTTCGACTTTGACGGTGTCAGTGGCACTGCTCTAGCGTTCTTACCGTTTGGTTCCATCGGAAAATTGCTAGAATAAGGAGGAGATTAGTTGTAGAGAGAGAAGACGGGGCTTGTGCGATTTAGTTTATCGGGGAGAGAGAGAGAGAGAGAGAGAGAGAGAATGTGGGCCCCTATTTTTATTTTTTTATATATAAATAGTTATAGGAAAAAAAGAAAAATGGAAAATAAGTATAATAAGGGAAATTTAGTCTTTTTAGTTACCGAAGGACCAAAATCACAAGCAAACGACCTCAAAAGGACAACTAATTCAAAAAAGTCGTGGTTTGGACTAAAACAACAAAAAATTACATACTACAGGGACCACAAATTCAATTTTGTTACACCCCAAAAAATTGCATACGATATATATATATATATATATATATATATATATATATATATATATATATATATATATATATATATATATAATGAAACATTTTTTCTTTTACCATATTCATTTGAAACTCCCATTCTTTTTTCCTTTCACCACATTCATTTGAAACTCCCATGACTTTTCAATTTCTTTATAACAATAGTTATAATTTGGTAAAGTGGGTTAAATAAATATTAAACTTAAAGTGTAATCATATATAAATTAAATTTTAATATTAAAATAATATTTTACTTTTACTTATAAAATTATGTTTTAACTTTTAACATATTATACTTAATTTATTAATTTTAATATATTGTTGGATGTAAACCCTTATCATTGTAAATGTATAATTTTGGAACAATTTGTATAAGATACTTAAATTATTAATTAAAATATAACATTACATGGTCAACTTAAATATAAATTTTAGTTTAACTTAAAAAATCCAAAGAATATTTTATAAATAGTCAAAAGTGATAAATTGTAGTGTATTTCTAATAATGATTATAAGTTGGTTAAGAAGGTTAAATAAATATCAAACCTAAAGTGTAATATAAATAGACTAAATTTCAATTTTGAAATAATATTTTTACTTCTATTTATAAAGTTATGTGTTTAAATTTTAACATATTATACTTAATTTATTAGATTTAAAATGTTGTTGTATGTAAACCATTATCAGTTTAAAGCTACATCTTTTGAATAGTTTTGACAAAATACTTAAATTGTTAATTTAAATATAACATTACAGTGTTAACTTAAATATAAATTTCAGTTCCGCTAAAAACACCAAAGAATATTTTGTAAATAGTTAAAAGTGATAAATGCAAAAACTAAATTGTAATATCAATTTAACTAATATATTTCCTAAATATCTTTTTATAATCGTTAAATATTTTCAAATAAGTAGCTTAAAACAACTTACAATAACAATAGTTAAAAATAACTCTATATAAATGATTATATTGTTACCTTTAAAATCGAAATATAATGTTTGATATTTTAAATAATCTAGAAATTAAAATATTAAGCAAACAATTTTAAAAAAATTACTTAACAATAACAACAACTATAAATAACATGAAATCATATATTATATTTAATTTTATTCATGTGTAACTCATGGATAGAAATCATTCAAACGGTTGAGATTATGAAGTTATAATAGATGTATATATTATCATATAATTAAAAATAATCAATATATTATACCAATTTAGTATATATCGAATTTAACAAAAACGTTATTGTTATATTTTAAAAAAACATATATTTGTAAAGGCTTAAACTTTATAGGTGTTTCTGCGCATTACAATGTCAACTTAAATATAAATTTCAGTTCCACTTAAAAAACCAAAAAAATATTTTGTAAATGGTTAAAAGTGATAAATTGTAATGATAAATACAAAAACTAAATTGTAATCTCAATTTAACTAAAATATTTCCTAAAGATATTTTTATAATCGTTAAAATTTCCAAATAAGTATTTTAAAATAACTTACAATAAAAATAGCTAAAAATAACTTTATATAAATGATTATATTGTTACCTTTAAAATCAAAAAAATAATGTTTGATGTTTTAAAAAGTTATAATGATAGAAATTAAAACATTAAGTAAATAAATTTTTAAAAATTAATTAACAATACCAAGAACTATAAATAACATTAAACCATATATTATATTTAATTTTATTCATTTGTGACTCGCGGGTAGAAGTCATTCAAATGATTGAGATTATGAAGTTATAATTGTTGTATATATTATCATATAATTCAAAATAATCAATATATTATATCAATTTAATATATAAATTATTATATCGAATTTAACAACAACGTTATTATTATATTTAAAAAAACATATATTTGTAAAGACTTCAACTATATATATGTTTCTGCGCAACATGCGGACATTCGTCTACTATATATATATAATATATATATATATATATATATATATATATATATATCATACAAACTAGCATTTTTTTTTCACCACATTTATTTGAAACTCCTATGACTTTTCAGTTTCTTCCTAATAATGGTTATAAGTTGGTTAGTAAGATTAAATAAATATCAAAACATAAAGTGTAATCATATACAAACTAAATTTCAATATTAAAAGAATGCCTTTACTTCTACTTATAAAGTTATGCTTTTTAACTTTTAACATATATTATACTTAATTTATTAGTTTTAATAAATTGTTGGGTGTAAACCGTTATCATTTTAAAGATAGAACTTTTGAACAATTTGTATAAAATACTTAAATTATAAATTTAAATATAATATTATAGGATCAATTTAAATATAAATTTCAGTTTAACTTAAATAACCCAAATAACATTTTGTAAATAGTTAAAAGTGATAAGTGGTAGTGTCTTTCTAATAATGATTATAAGTTGGTTAATAATGTTAAATAACTATCAAACCTAAAGTGTAATAATAAATAAAGTAAATTTCAATATTAAAATAACATCTTTACTTCTACTTTTAAAGTTATATCTTTAATTTTTAACAGATTATACTTAATTTATTAGATTAGGATGTTGTTGTATGTAAACCATTATCAATTTAAAACTACAAATTTTGAACAGTTTAGACAAAATACTTAAATTGTTAATTTAAATATAACATTACAGTATCAACTTAAATATAAATTTCAGTTCCACTTAAAAACCCCAATGAATATTTTGTGAATAGTTTAACGTGATAAACTGTAGTGCTAAATGTAAAAACTGAATTATAATCTTAATTTAACTAAAATATTTCCTAAAGATATTTATATAATCATTAAATGTTTTCAAATAAGTAGCTTAAAATAATTTACAATAACAGTAGTTAAATATAACTCTATATAAATGATTATATTGTTAATTTTAAAATCAAAAAACAATGTTTGATGTTTTAAATATTTATAATGATAGAAATTAAAACGTTAAACAAATAAATTTCAAAAAATTAATTAACAATAACAACAACTATAAATAACATTAAACCTTATATTATATTTAATTTTATTTATGATTAACTTGCGGGTAGAAGTCATTCAACCGGTTGAGATTATGCAGTTATAATAGATATATATATTATCATATAATTCAAAATAATCAATATATTATATCAATTTAGTATACGAATTATTATATCAAATTTAATAAAAATGTTATTGTTATAATTAAAAAAACATATATTTGTAAATATTTCAACTATATAGGTGTTTTTGCGCAACGCGCGGGCATTCGCCTAATATATATATATATATATATATATATATATATATATATATATATATATATATATATATATATATATATATATATATAAAGAGAGAGAGAGAGAGAGAGGGGGGGAGAGAGTGTTAGGTTTATATATAAACAATAACTATTGTGTGAATATGTAGCCAATTGTGGACTAATCATTTTGTAGGGGTACAATGGTAACTTTAGCAATAGTTAATTAAGGCAATATAATTAATTCTTTAGCAATTTTAATACCATCTCATTCTATTTATCAGTTCCTTTCTTTTTAACCCTCTTTTCCCCCACTTAGAACGCCACAGACTCCTTCCCTATGTACAACCTCATCAACCTTCCTCAACGACGACGATGCATCCGACGACAATCGATACCCACCAATAAACCCTCCTCTCCGACGACTCAAGTCATCCATCAATGTCTCACCTCAAGCGACAAAATATTGATAAAAAAAAACATCTTTGCCTCCCCTCAAGCGATACACGATATCGAATGCTTTTGTACCCATCAAAACTTGCTGAAAAACGCACCACTTATCATCATCATCATCATCTAGATGCTCCGTCGGTTTTTCTGTCAGGAAACGCTTTCAATTTAGTCCTTTATTGTCGTGTTTTCCACTTTTTCTATTACACTTACTCCTCCCAAGTAAGAAAAACTCGTTTTAATGGGTTCTCCCCTGGTGATTTCTTTTTCAATGTTCCTACAATTTACATTAAGCATTAAAATGAGAAGTAATTTTACAATTGTGAGTGACTTGGGTTTAGATTTTGTTATCTAATTCATGTTAGGTCTTGCTTCTGTTTGCTAGACTCTTCTTAACTCATCCTCCATGGTTAATTTATTACTCAAGGTACTGACTTTTTTTTATCAAATGCAATGAATACTCAATGCCTCAATTTGTAATAAATGGAATCATTAATCATAATAGTATTACATTAGTATCTAACATAATTATGAATACTACCCTTCAATTCAAGCCTCTATTTTGAATCCAGAGTTTTAAAAGAATAAAAAACTCTTGAATTTTGCCCTACATTCACTTCACTGAGGTCCTG